AAAAAAAAATATATATATATATATATAATAAAAAAAACGGTAACACAGTGGAGTTGCGGGAAAGTATGGAAGTGGCATATTTGGGACTAGTATAGATGATATCTGACAGTAATTAAAATCACTATCATGAGAAACACTTCCATGCAAATCTGTAGATAGTGTTAAATTTTAAGAAATTGGTAGATTATTTCAAAAGCAACAAGAACTCTTATTCCCTTAATTTTATCCCGATTAGTTATTTGATTTATTATTATAATATATGAATAAATAATAATTATAGTAATTAAATTTAGTATGAAATTGATATTCAATAATTTAATATTGTAATTTTTACGGAGATATTATAAAAATATTAAAGTAGTTGTATATTTCTTTTACGCTTATTAAAATTTTAAGAGCTTGACACAATATTTTTCAATAAAAAATGTTTGTCAATTTTACCAAAGTTATAAGTTTTATACACTGGACAACAAGGAACTTTCATCAGAAACAAAAATGTACTTTTCTAAATCAAGTTTTCTCGATGTTTTCAAATATGCATTTAAACTTTTTTCATTACTTCTAAGTTTTAATATTATTACTTCTTATTAAAATCTAAGTTATTACAATAAAAAAAAAAAATAATTAAGAAAAACCAAAAATTGTATTAAATTAATTATGATTTTGATTATTAATATGTTAAAAATAAGAAAAGTGATAAATTTATAATCTAGTAGTAGGTCCAACGAAAGTTGAGATTGAGCGTTCACAGATACAAAAAATTAAAGAAAAAAAAATTATAATACTATAATTAAAAAAAAAAAAAAATTTTACCTCCGGATTTTTCTTTATGGTGAAAATGACTATCGTTATTCAAAAATATGCTGTTTTTGTGTTAAAATTTGGGTTTTGTATTTTATTTTTAAATACCTGACAAGGAGAGTATACTGATTTTCATAATTATTATATTAATCATATTGATATAGCATAGTTAATCTTCTTTAAATTTTTTTGCTTTTTTTAAGTAGAGAAAAATAACAATGAAATTCGAACTAGTTTAAATAACCATTTTTTTCAATCAACGGAAGCGACGTACATTTGTCGAGTCTTACTTGTGTCTTACGCGCTTGAAGTACAAGGTTCCAACCCGTGTATGGCAAGGAATTTTTCACTTTTTTTTCTTAATTCATTGTAAGTTTGACTAAATTTTCAACTCATTTGATTTTTATCAAATTTCATGCAAAAATCTTTTATTCATATTAAAATTATTTTACTATATTTTAGGTTTTAGCTTCGATGCAAAGCTGAGATGATATTTCTTTGAGACTATCATTTATTTTCTCTGCTCTAACTTGACCTATTTTTTTCAACGATACGTCAAATGATTACAATTCGTATCTAAATGAAGATCTTACCCTCAAAAATTGAAAAAAAATATAATTTATCAACTAAACAGTTACTTACCCCATGTTATCCATACAGACAATTAAAATTATTTATTTATAATGTTATACATATATACATGCTGCTATATAAATCATTATTAAAAAAAAATTTCTAAAATTTTTAAAAAGAATTTTAAAAAACTCATTCCTCATGAGTTAACAATGGATTTTTATATCTTTTTAACAACTTTTTTTTGATTAGTTATTTTAGTTAAAGTAAATCATTATTATTATTATTACTATTTAAGTATCTACAACGATTAAAAAGGAAAAAAAAAAATTGAGCATTTCTGATATATTTATTATAAATAATTATTATAAAATTTCCTGACTGCATATTAATCTTAACAATACAAATTTTTTTTTTCACATAAAATTTCCTATTTAGTTTTGTCAATTTCAAACATGCAAATTAAGTTAAAAGTTATGGTAGTAAATTATTTTTTTTTAATAATAAACTTTCACAAAAATCTACTTTAAAGGATTAAAAAAACTGGTTAAATATGTCATTTTTCTTATTTTTAACATATTAATAATCAAAATCATAATTAATTTAATACAATTTTTGGTTTTTCTTAATTATTTTTTTTTTTATTTGTAATAACTTAGATTTTAATAAGAAGTAATAATATTAAAACTTAGAAGTAATGGAAAAAGTTTAAATGCATATTTGAAAACATCGAGAAAACTTGATTTAGAAAAGTACATTTTTGTTNGAAAAAGTTTAAATGCATATTTGAAAACATCGAGAAAACTTGATTTAGAAAAGTACATTTTTGTTTCTGATGAAAGTTCCTTGTTGTCCAGTGTATAAAACTTATAACTTTGGTAAAATTGACAAACATTTTTTATTGAAAAATATTGTGTCAAGCTCTTAAAATTTTAATAAGCGTAAAAGAAATATACAACTACTTTAATATTTTTATAATATCTCCGTTTAAATTACAATATTAAATTATTGAATATCAATTTCATACTAAATTTAATTACTATAATTATTATTTATTCATATATTATAATAATAAATCAAATAACTAATCGGGATAAAATTAAGGGAATAAGAGTTCTTGTTGCTTTTGAAATAATCTACCAATTTCTTAAAATTTAACACTATCTACAGATTTGCATGGAAGTGTTTCTCATGATAGTGATTTTAATTACTGTCAGATATCATCTATACTAGTCCCAAATATGCCACTTCCATACTGTCCCGCAACTTCACTGTGGTACCGTTTTTTTTATTTTTATTTTTAAAACATTTTTTCTTAAAACGTATTACTTAATACTTAACGNACTGTGGTACCGTTTTTTTTATTTTTATTTTTAAAACATTTTTTCTTAAAACGTATTACTTATCGTATAATGTTTATACGACTAAATAATATAGTCTTACAGAATTTTTTTTTTAATTTTTGAGGGTTTTTAGGCTTAGGTTTTTAGCTAAGTATAAATATATAGAATATTTTGTGAGTAAGAAAACAGGTCAAATTTTATAAACAATGAAAGTAATAGAAACTCGTTTCTTTACTTACTATACATTCTATATAATACTAGGCTACGCCAAGCTGGAGCTATGCTCTAGACTCGTTGTCTCTAGTGCCATTCTTACTGTTAATCCACTCTAGTGATGGCAACCTGTTATTAATTTTGATAACTGTTACAATCTGTTATTGTTACTTTCGAAATAACAGTTACTGTTATTTTCTTAGAAAATGTTATCTTTGTATAAAATTGTTATTAACAGTGATATAACTGTTATATTTGTAAAAAGTATTGTAGGCAACTTGTTATCAATTTTGATAACTGTTATTTGTTACTTTCAAAATATCAGTGATGTAATTGTTTTAAATAATAAACACTATTAGTAACAATAACAATAAACAATAATAAAATAACTATTTTAAATAAAATAAGAATTTAACTGTTAAGAGAGGAGCAACAGGTAATAATTTATCATAAAAAACTAAAAAAATAATTGTGATAACATAATAATATTACTGTAAAACCAAGGTAGATTCATTAAATGTCAGAAATTAGCGCTCCTAGTGTTGTAAATTTCAAATATGAGACTAAATACTATGCGTGAAATATTGATGACCTTGCGTAATACAAAATAACAGTAACTGTTACTATTTCTTCCGAGTAACAGCTTGTTATTGATACTCAAGCAATAACTGTTATAAATCACTGTTACTGTTATTTTTTCCCATCACTAATCCACTGATTCTGGTAAGAGCAGGGCCGCCTTTAAGGCAGGGCACACCGGGCCCGGGCCCAGGGCCTCCTGCAAAAGGGGGGCCTCTTTGTAGACAATCGT